ACATTTTTGGACAATTCATGACTATGCCTAAAACACATCATGTAAAGACAAGCTTTCAAGGCAAACAAAATCAAAACAATATTTACAAATATAAACAGTCTAATGTCTGAATCATCACTTTCATCTCAGTAGGTCAAAATATAACCATCATTTTAAAACTATGACAGTCACCATGTTATCTTATAAACTGAACAATGAAAGGAAATAATTTTCATTCTAGTAAATGCGCAAATTTATTTCATGACAATGCAAATGAGCTGGAGGACCTAACTAACCCCCCCCCCAAAAAAAAAATCACAATGTTACATTTTGGACAATTATGATTTTCATAAAAGACACCAAGGAAATTCCCAATTTTAAAACAAACCAAATTACGATTTTTCATGCTTTATGTTACAATTATCTCTTCCAACTGTGTTTAAAAAAAACATGTTTCAAAATGGCCAAATGGAATTTAATTTGTTCAACTTGTCTTTGGAAATTTTCAAAAATTCTTTAGACTAAATGTCACATACTCGGTGAAAACGAATCGTTAATAGAAATTGAGCAAAACTAATTTTCAAGGATTCTGCTAAAATAGGTTTAGAACATCAAACCTCAAAAGCACCTATCAACGAACAAAGCGTATGGATATGGAGCTATAAACTTCTGAAACTTAACAAAACATTAAAAAATGTATTTCAATGTTACATAATAAGACACCATAAAACTTCCAGCTTTTAAAACAAACAAAATCAAAACATTTCACTCATTTGATTACTGTTTTGAATTATTACTTACAAAACTGTACCAAAACAGCCAAGTTTGTAAGTTTTTTCGACTCTTGGATTTTTTTTTTTTTTTTACAGATATTTTAGTCAAATTTTTTTTCCATATAATGTTATAACAAAAGCTTGAAAGAAAATGATTTTCATTCTAGTGAAAACCTATTGAATTAAATCAACCAATTTGTATTGTCAAATTGGTCAAAACTAAATGGAATAAATTCCACACAAAAGAGAATTAATAATTATAACATTTATTTTATATCAATTTATTAAATTGGAAATTTATACCATCAATAAACTTTTTATAAAAAAAAGCTATCTTTAATGATCGAGCTTGTTACCACTCGAGCAAAACTATTTTTCAATGGGCATGGGAAAATTTGGCAAACATCGAAGCATCAATCCTCGTTCAATGAGAAAACAACAAAATATGCGATACAAAAAACAAAACCAATCGTGTCGCAATGCAACATTTTAAGCCATGCTTGAGTCTGGCATTCATAAAAACCAGCAAATAAAATACAAAAATTGTTTGCATACGTTACAAATAATACAAGCAATTATCATTTCCAGTGCATCATAAAAATGTGCAAAGTTTCGAGGGAGGGGTTAGTTTGTTCAACACTTTTGGGAATTTTTGTTTTTCAGGTTCAAATGTAGCATGATTTGGGCTTAATCGTATAAACTATTTATAAACAGAATGAATCTATTGGGCTTTAGCTGATAATAAAAATCAGGAAAATCTATTTTCTCCAAGGATCAAATGAAAACAGGCTGTTATCAAATAATGTTATGAAATAAATTCTCTATTTTGGGGAATTCCTGAATTTCTCTGCCGTAAAAGACACCACACTGTGCCCAGTTTTTAAATCGTACAAACTAAAAACGTCATTTACAGATAAAACAGTCAATAATTTCTAACAGAGTATATCAAAAATTGTCAGAATGGGCAAATGGATTATATAGTAGATAGTTTGTTCAATTGTCTTGAGACTTTTTGTTTTTCCCAATAATTTAAACAATGTTTACTGCGCAAATATCATAAATTTGCTTTACCTTGGTACTTTCATGGTAGACACTCTGTTCCCTTATAAACTGCAGAGTGAAACTAAAGAATTTCAATTCTATTAAATCAACCTATTTGTTTTTATAATCATAATCCAAATGAGGTGAACAAATGCTTCTATTGGGTTGTCCGGAAAATAATGCAGGATTTTGGTATTAAACAAAAAAAAAGAAACTAGTTACTTTAAAGCAATGTTCTTTAATCAAAATAATTTCCCATACTCTCAATACATTTCTCCCAACGTGTTGGTAACTTATTAATTCCGTCTGAGTAGAATTCAGAATTTTTAGAATTGATAAAGTCAATAAATGCATTTTCCAGTTCCGTTTGATTTTTGAATATTATGTGTTGTAAGTAGTGGTCCAGGTGTCTAAAAAAATGGTAGTCAGTAGGCGAGAGGTCCGGAGAGTAGGGTGGGTGAGGCAAAGTTTCATAGCCAAGCTCCAATAATTTTTGTGACGTTACACGTGACACATGTGGTCGAGCGTTGTCATGCAACAAAATGGGCCCTTTCCGATTGACCAAAGAGGGCTTCATTATTGCCAATTTCTGATGCATGGTATTAATTTGGTTACAGTATGATTCAGCATTGATGGTTTCGCCAGGATTTAAGAAGCTGTAGTGTATTAAACCAAATGAAGCCCACCATACCGTAACCATTACCTTTTTTGATGAGTTGGGGGCTTTGGAGCTTCTCCTTTGTCGAGCCACTGTCCAGAACGTCTAGTGTTATCGTAGAGAATCCACTTTTCGTCACATGTAACAATTCTGGCCAGAAATGGGTCATTTTTGTTTCGACAAAGAAGTGATGCACAAACATCAAAGCGCTGATTTTTTTGGCGATCGTTTAATGAGTGTGGAACCCAATTTTCGAGTTTTTTCACTTTTCCAATCGCCTTGAGGTGGTCAGCGACGGTCGTTTTACTGACTTTGAGTTGCTCTGCAAGTTCTCGAACAGTTGTTTTGGGGTTTTCTTCCACCACTGATCGCAGAACATCATCATTAAGAGAGGAAGGCCTTCCACGACCTTCTTCATCTTCAAGGCTGAAATCTCCCTCCCGAAATTTTTTAAACCACCTTTGCACAGTGCACTCATTAACACAACCCTCGCCCCAGACTTGGTTAATGTTTCTAGCCGTTTGGGCTCCGCTTCGGCCGAGTTTAAACTCGTAAAAGAAAATCGTACGAAATTCTCGCTTTGACATTATAAGGATGACTGAATTATTTCCAAGTAGCGGAATGCTACAGAGGTAAACAAACAATATCATTTGGAAGAGGATTAATAAGTGTTGACATTCATACAAATGAGTAATCCTGTAAACGTAAACAGAATATTTTATATAGATTTTTTTTAATGAAAAATCCTGCATTATTTTCCGGACAACCCAATAGATGTTTCGACAGTCCAAATGTCAAATACTGGATTCGACAAAGAACCCCAAAATGTCAGTCACCATGTTATCTTATAAATTGTACAGTGAATCTAAACCATTTTTGTAACCATCCAACACCTGCAAACAAAATCAACCCATTTGTTTGTATAAACCTAGTCCAAATCATTTGGACAACTGTTTTTCCAGGCATTTTGATATTACAAATGCAACATCCTTGGCAGGAATCCCTGAGTGTCAGACAGTTGTTTCATAAATTGTAGTGTGAAGCTAAATAATTTTTCATTCTGGCCAACACATGCAGAACTTATTGAATCCATTTGTTTTTATAAACCTAGTTCACATGAACCGAACAACTTTGTTTTTCCAGGCATTTTGATATTACAAATGCCACATTCTTGGCAAAAATCCCTGAATGTCGGTCATTTGTCTCATAAATTGTACAGTGAAGATAAATAATTTTTTATTATGGTCGACACCTCCAGAACAAAATAAACCCATTTGTTTTTATAAACCTAGTCCAAATGAGCCGAACAACTTTGTTTTTCTTGGCATTTTGACAGTTCAAATAATCGCATACTGGGTTCGGCAAAAAACCCCAGAATGTCAGCCAACCTGCTATCTTATAAATTGTTCAGTGAACATAAAAAATTTTCATCCCATACAACACGTGCAGAACTAAATAAACCCATTTGTTTTATAAACTAGTCCAGATGAGTTGAACAACTTTGCTTTTCTTGTCATTTTGACAGTCCAAATGGTCACATATTGGGTTTGACAAAGCACCCCAGACTGTCAGCCATCCTTATCTTATAAAAATAAGTAAAAATAAAAATTTTAAAAAAACATGTTTCTATAAACCTAGTCCAAATGAGCTGAGCCCATTCTGTCAGTCCAAATGGTCACATACTGGGTTCGAGGCAGCAGAGAATGTCAGCCATCCTTATCTTATAAAAATAAGAATCAAAAACTTTTCTTCTTTAAAAACACAATTAAAGAATGAGGAGCGTTAAAATTTCATAGTTTCTACAAAATGAAACACGGCTGTTGTTCTGTTGTCATTTTTGTGAAAAATACACCATTTAATAGGAAAAATCGGTATTAATTTTAAGAATTTATATGTGTCTGAACAGTAATGTTAAGCAGCGAGTTATGAGGATGCAAAAGGCTTTGGATTAGGGAATTGCTACGTAAGTTTACAAGTTTTACGAAAGTGAGTCACTTTCGACGAAACAGTCACGGAGAGGTGAACGAGATTTCTCACTTGGGCAAACTCTAGCGTTTAGCCATCCCTGAGGAACGCTGGTGTTTTGGCGAAGTTTTGTAACGAATTGAAACAAGAGGGACGACTGTCATATCTCTGAGATGTCGCATAATTGTGTAACTGTTTCTTTTGTCTGGAAATCGGCGTGACGTAGTTTAAACGCGTTTGACTTTCGTAACGTCGGCTGACAAATATAGGGAATGTGGATGACGGGATTTATTATTTATATTGTTTTTTTTTTGTTTTTTTAGTGTTGTGTCGTCGGGGTGTTGTGAGGGCGGCCGCTCCCCGTTGCGTAAGCGGCGACGCGCGATAAATCCACGGGACGAGGGAGGAGAGTGGAAGAAAGGCGCACCCACGGGCAATTAGCGGACGGCGTGCAATCGTCTGCGGCGGATCCGGGGAAAGGGCTCTGCCCTGATAAAAGGAAAGCGGCGAGGGGAGGCCTTCGGCGCATAACCTATACGCGAGAACGGGCGGTTCGCCTTTTTTCTTTTTTTTTTCTTTCTTACCGGTTTGGATATCCTTTCCAGTTCGTCGAGGAAATACTGTACGGAGTCGCTGAGCTGGAACTCCCTCCGCCTTTCGAAGGCCCGTCGGATGCCGGAGTCCTTCCACAGGTTGTTGAGCATGGGCGAATAATGGAGGAAGAGCCTGGCGTCGAGAGGAGTGCCGTTGTCGTGTCCGAGGAGCCGGCGGCCGTCGTCGGCGTTCGAGGCCCGCTCCCAGGGGATGCCCAGTTTGTCCCTCGCGTCGACGAGCACTTTCATCCCTTTGACGATGTTCTGGTAGATGATGTGCTGGTACTCCCTCACGGACTCCGGCTCGAACTTGACCCCGTGGATGATGCGCATCTGCTTGAGGAAGGTTGACTTTCCGCTCTCGCCCGCCCCGAGCAGGAGCAGCTTCACCTGTCTCCTGAAGCTCTGTTTCTCCTCCTCGAGCTTCTTGTCGATCTCCTGGCTCCTGTAGTGCTGTTCGATCTCCTCCGGGCTGAACTTGAGCCGGAGGCAGCAAGGGCACGAGAAGACGACGCCGGCCATGCCCGCCGCACGACGCCCACTCAAAACCGTCGCCGACTCGTTCACAATTTTCAGAGGCGGGTCCGTTCGCCCGTTCACGTCCGACACGTTCACTTCACCCACTGCCGTCGCCCCTGCCCCCTTCCATCTTCCATCGCGTTCTCTCCCTCTTCGCCCGTCCCCTCTCCCACCGGCCTCCACCTCTTCGCCGTTTTTGACTTTTTCCAGCGGATCGCCGTCGGACCTGCTCTCGAAATCACAATTCGTCCTCCTCCGAATAGAAAAATCAAAAATAGTTTTTCTTCTTTTCGATTTTCGCAACAGGTAAACGAATTTATACTGATCGAAATGTTCAAATTAAAAATCATCATCTATGCTACCGACCTTTCCTCCCCACTCAAACTTTTTTTATAAACTGCTCTTTTTAATAATTAAACAACCATTTCCGGAATTCACCTAGAAATTTACCGCTGCAGAAGAAACATTGCAGAAACACAGCGAGACGAGAAATCTCACCAAATCCTCATCATCGTTTTCTCTGGTGTCCAGTCTATAAAACAATCCTCCAAATCTGCAGGTTGGAGATACTGATCATTCTAGTCTGCCAATCCTCGATGCTGTGATCTGTCAAACTTTTTTTTTTGCTTTTCGCCATCTTCAGTGCTTGTAAGAAAATATACTACAAGTATTATATAAAAAAATAAAAAAACATGGAAATTACAAACATAATTTATTCAACCCTTTCAGGATAACTGTGAAATTCCATTAGAGTAAAAATTGCATTTTGCTTGAATGATCAAAAGAGCGACGAGAACAGAAACCACTAATTCTTCATCCTCACTTTGACCGATTTCCTAGACTATAAAACAATGCTTCAAAACTGTAGGTTGGACATCCCTGATCATAATAGTCTGCCAATCCTTTCTGTTTTGATCTGTCAAACTTTTTTTTTTTGCTTTTCGCCATCTTCAGTGCTTGTAAGAAAATATACTACAAGTATTATATACAAAAACGTCAATTTTTCATGAAATTTTGTCTTGAAATAATTTATTCAACTCTTTCCAGAATTCGTAAATAACTGTGAAATCCCACTAAAGAGTAAAAATTGCATTTTGCTTAAAATGGGCAAAAGAGCGGCAAGAACAGAAATCTCACCAAATCCTCATCGTCACTTTCTCTGGTGTCCAGTCTATAAAACAATGCTCCCAATCTGCAGCTTGGTCAATCCTGATCTTTCCGTTTTGATCTGCCAGACGTTTTTCGGCTTTTTGACATCTTCAGTGGTAGGTTGGTGACCAAGAAGTAATACAAATTGCCGCTGAAGAAGGCGAAAAGCGTCTGGCCGACGAAAACAACTGTACTAGATGGATCGGAAAGAAATGAATATAAGACAATTAAACAAGAAATTAAAAAAAAAAAATTGAAACAGACGATGAAAATTTATGGAGTTGAAATATTAATTTAATCAACCCTTTCCAGAATTTCGGATATCGGTGATAGCCACCACTGGCATTATGTGAAAACTGACAAACAGCAACATCAGAAATCTCATAAAATCCTCATCCTCATTTCGTCCTAAATCTAGGCTGTAGTAAACGCAACAAATCATGTTTGGTCATTCCTGATCATTAGGGCTGTGAAATATATGCATTTGCATATTTTTTCTGGTTAACTAAAACATACAGTTTTAACAAACTGTANATTTTCATTTTTAAATTGCAATTTTTACCAAATATGTTTACATATATATGTGCATATTTGTCTGTTTTTATCGCATATAAATCACAGCCCTACTGATCATTCTCGTTTAGCAATCCTTGCTGGTTTGATATTTCAAATGTGTTTCACCTTTTTGCTATCTTCAGTTGAGGGGTTTGTTAGAAAAAATACTACAACATGCCACTGAAGTAGGCGAAAAGCGTCTGACCGAAGAAAACAACGAACCTAGGTGAAGCAGGATGCAATTAATGTACGACAATTAAAAACGAAACATAAACGACAAAATTTGAAACATAAAAGAAACCAAAAAAAATTAAAAACATAACTGAAACAGAAATAATGAAAATTCAAAATATGCAATGAAAACCATGGAAACTACACACTTGAAATATAAACAATGAAATAATGGTTTAATCAACCTTTCCCTGAACTTATCATAACTGTGAAATCCGCCCATGAAAAAAAAAATGACAAAACGTGGAAACAAACCAAAACTACGAGACCAAGATCTCACAAAATCCTCATCTTCACTTAGTCCCAAGTGTCCAGTTTCCAGACTGTAAAACAATGCTTCACGTCTGTAAGCTTGGACATTCCTGACCGTTCTGGTCTTCCAATCCTCGCCGTTTTGATCTGTCAGACTTTTTTGCCATCTTCAGTGGTCGGTTTGTTAGAGGAAATCCTACGAGCTGCCACTGAAGAAGTCGAAAAGCATCTCACCTACAAAAACAACGAAACTAGGTTGACCAGGATGCAATTAATGTACGGAAATTAAACACGGAACATAAACGACAAAATTTGAAACATGAAAGTAAAAAAAATTAAAATTCAGGAAACTGAAACAAAACCAACGATACCAGTCTGACTGGGAATTCTATTCCTTCTAGGCTAAATTTGCTAAACTTTTCGAAGGAACTTGTCTTTACTTGGAAAAAGTTAGATAATATCGTAATCGGACGTTTTGTAATAATTAGTTAAGCATTTATAGTAACACTGATATACAAGGATCGGTTTTAAATTGATAGGAACCAATAAATCTTTCAAAACTGTTCTTTCTTCTACGTTACTTGACTTTTCCTCAGGTGGAATTGAACTTTTTTACCTAAGAAAATAGAAAATACGGTTGTTTTTGAGTTCAATTTATATAATTTTGTATTTTGGGAGATCTTCAGGTCTCGTAGTTTTGGTTTGTTTCCACGTTTTGTCATTTTTTTCTTCAGTGGCGGACTTCTCAGTTATGATAAGTTCAGGGAAAGGTTGATTAAACTATTATTTCATTGTTTATATTTCAAGTGTGTAGTTTCCATGGTTTTCATTGTATATTTTGAATTTTCATTATTTCTGTTATGTTTTTAATTTTCTTCGTTTCTGTTATGTTTTTAATTTTCTTCGGTTTCCTTTACGTTTCAAATTTTGTCGTTTAAGCTTTGTGTTTAATTATCATACTTAAATTTCACCCTGATCCACCTAGTTTCTTTGTTTTCATCGGTCACACGTTTTTCCTCTTCTTCAGAGGCAACTCTTAAAATTTCTTCTTCACAAGTCCACCATTGAAGAAGGCAAAAAGCCGAAAAACCTCTCACATATCAAAACAGCGAGGATTGACCGACTAGAATGATCAGGAATGACAATGCTACAGATTTGGAACATCGTTTGCAATCTGAATACCGACTTATTTTATAACCCAATAATTTTGTCCGATGCCAGTAAATTTGACTATATTCTTTCTAATAGTCCAAATAGGTTTATTTATGGTACTAGTATGATTGTTAGATCCAAGGTAGCTTTTGTGCCTAATTTGTCGTTTCCTCATTCCCTCGATATCAGAATGCCCTGCAATTACAATTGGAAAAATGAAAGAAAAACAACGAAAATTTGAAACATGGAAGAAAAACTAAGAACATTTTAAATATAACTGTGTTTTTAAAAACACGTTTTCACTCTAATAAATACGTTCAGACGTTATTAACGACTCGCCATCGACGACTGGGCGAAGCCTTGTTACTTGCGCCGCCGATTACCTAACATTCCAACCGGATTATTATCAGGGCGGCTTATCTCAATCCTCGAAGATCCGCAGATAAAATTGAGCAAAACGTTGAATAGGAAATAAATGCGTAGGCCGGCCGCTGAAGACACGGACCGAATTACAGATAAAGGAGTGGGTGGGCAATTATCTTTAAGGAGGACATCGGCACTTTTCTTAGCCATCCGTTTAACTCTGAAAATTCACGGGTGAACTTTTTAAATTAAAAAAAAGAAAAGAAAATGGATCTGTCAAAGGAGTCACGGTGAGAATTATTTGATGAATATCTTCGAATCCGAGTAGGATAGCTTCTCCGTTCCCCTACCGGGTCTTTTCTCCTTTCATAAATAACCCCTTTTCTAATTGATTTTCCACTTCGTACTTACACTTTCACTTTGACTCGTTTGAAGATACCTTTTCTTATATAAATTATTTTATGCCTTGTGTCATTAATTTACAACTGAATTGAATTCTTTATTGGTGTTTTTCTATTAATACACTTTGTTCTGTTAATTTGGGTGTCCGATGCGCTTGCAGTTAAGGACGAAATAAATAATAAACTGAGCAAAATTCCTTTATGATCTGATGACTAGACCATAAATATCGTATGACAACCATGTTCAGAGTCGACCAACCAAAAGGTACATCACCTATCAATAAAACATCTCACAAAACTATCCCCTTTCTCTATTCCTACCCCTCTTTCCTTTTCTTCTCTGATTTCCATCATGACCTGGAAAATGAAACAAACACAGGCAACAGGAGTGATCTCCAGTAGTGAGTTTGTGTCTGTAGACATGGATGTATTACTTCTTACAATTAAGAGACAAAGGTCTTGTCCAACAAACCATCCCTTAACAATGCTATGGAGCTAGTAAAAGGCCTGCAGTTAGATATTGACCCATAGGAACAAGAGCGCAATAGTCCTATTTTGATGGACGCTGTGCAAAAAGTTCTACATCCAGCTCATACAAACTACGTCTTGTTTGGCTAGAACCAAAATAACATCGAAAGATCATGTCAACGATGAAGGTAGCCAACTCCTTGGAAACGCAAATGCCTCTGGGAATCACCCAAGTTTTTTTTTTTTGTATTCTTATTTTTCCCCCGGATAATCTTCGGTTTATCAACTAAAATCCCTCGCACTGTAAACCTCAACGCAACTAGTCTTCTTATACCACCCTCTCATACTCCATGAGAATCATCCAAGTTTGCAAACCCACATTCCTTCAGATGTTGGAGGACGGGGTCTTGGTTTTCTATCCGCCAGGTGCTCAGGTGCTATCTTATATCTCCCATGCCATTTGAAAACTAGAGCAAGAGCTTTACTGTGCTGGATTGAGTTGATAAACTGGGTTGATTCTAATGGCATTTGGAACCTTCATCGCTGACATGATCTTTCGTCACTCATTTTGGCCCTGAGTTGACTATAGAGGTTAGGAGTAAGAAACTGAAGTAACTAGACTTATTACCATACCATCCTCTCCTATGTCATTAAAATCAATCCTGTTCATCTCCAACTCGGACGTTAAAAATCTTGCACTAGTAGTCTTTCTCCAGCTCGAGCTGTTAGACCACTTATACCAGGGGTGCTCAAACGGTCGATCGCGATCGACCAGTCGATCGCGAGTGCTTTTTGAGTAGATCTCGAGAAGAAAAAAATTTTTAATAAGTAGGTAGGTAACTAAACTACAAAAATGTATTACGTAATAAAATAACACTGCTTGCGGCAAAAGGTGGCTTTATCAAAGGAACGCGCGGCACTTGTCAAAGAAAAGCAGCGTTGTTTCTAGACTAGTAGACAGTACAGTCTAGTCTAGAAACAACGAGAGACAGTACAGTCTATTTTCGGGGAAAATATAGCATCATTTATGAGTTATCCTTTTTCATGTAAAAACATTGAGGAATTAGCTACTGAAATAGCAAGTCAGTTTAATATGAACTCATGTTCTGTTGAAAATGAGTTGGTGCAGATTATATCAGATATACATCTCAAAGCTACAGCATCTGATACACATTTCTGGTGTTTTATATCTGAAGATAAATATCCGAATGTAAGGCAAATCGCCCTTCAACTGACGGCATTTTTTGGGTCAACTTACTTGTGCGAGTCTGCATTTTCTGAAATGAAGATAATTAAGTCAAAATATCGCAATCGACTAACTGACGATCATATGTCATCATGCTTGCGATTAGCACTCAGTGGTTACGTACCATCTTATGAAAAGTATGCTGAGGACATGCAGTGCCACGCTTCAACATCCAAAGCCACTCCTTAGTTAAGTTTAACACCATATGTAACTCTTTTGTTTTGTAACAACCAATAAACTCGCAATTTTGAATAACTATGAGTTTTTTCATTGATATTGTAGAGAAGAACCTAACTAAACCTAACCCAAACCTTGACTAAAAACCTATATTGTGCAGAAAGCTAATATCTATATATGCTACGGTACACCCTGCCTAGGTAGGTAGGGTGTATCGTGTATGTACGACAACCCTGCATCACACACACTTGCAGCCTTTCAGATTCGGTTGTAAGTAGTCTAAAAATATTGAGGTAGATCGCCAGCAGTTCAAGTTTGAGCACCCCTGACTTATACCAATCTCTCATATGTCATTAGAAACAACCAAGTTTTTTCAATCTGAATTTCTTCCGTTGATAGAATCCTGTTTTGTGTTTTCATCTCCAGCTGGAGTGACTAGATTTTTTTTCATATCACCCTCGCTTATGGCATTTGAATAAACAAAGTTTATGTAAATCGCATGTAAATCATCTCGATCTGGTTTTCCACCTTCAGCTGGAGCTACTAGACTTCTTATCATACCACCCTTCCATATGCCATTGAAATTAACCATATTTTTCAACAGAAATTCTTATCGCTCTAATAACATCGATTATCCATCTCTAGCTGGAGCTACCAGGCCTCTTCAAACTCTACATCCAGTGATTTAAAATATAAAGCTTTACTGAATGTGCGTTGTTTGTTATGACTGCATGCACCTACCTTCAGAGACACAGCTCATGTTTTATCTAGTCATTACAATGTTCTAGTTTGTAATTTGTATACCGAGACTGTAAAGATTACGTCCGCATACCATACGGTTTACACTCGCGGGTTTCGGTGTCGTTTGGGTCACTTACTGCGTTCTCAGTGCTAGTCTACGTGATCATGTAGCCTCACTAGTTTATTATCCTGAAGCTGAGCTGAAGACGGCAAAATGCCGAACGCGTCTGTCAACAGCGATAATAGGATAAGCCATAATTACCGGAAACGAATAAACTACAAACATTTTGTAGTTCAACCATCGTATATACCTATTTTTAGTTTTCATAGCTTTTTCCTCATTTTAAGTTGAGAATTTATGTCTATGCCTCGCCCTGCTTATATTTGTGACAAACGACTGAAGCTAGAGGAATGCTGAAACGCGTCTGATCGGTTGGAAAACGGTACAAAGTTCAGCCAGGGTCATCGCAGTGCAATTAGGAATCAAGGATAAAACTTTTTACTAATCGAAAATATACAAAATACAACTCGTTTGTGGAATGTTGCAAATAGTAATAAAATGTCAACAGAAGAGGTTGTGGAATGGAAAACATTTGCCGTGTCTGTTGTTGAGATTGATAGTGCGCATCCTAAAATCCCAATGCTTGCCTACATGTTGAACACGAAAAAGAGGTTCAAAATCATTGGACAAGATCTCAGTTAAATTTCTCGAATCTACCTGCAAATTTTAGGTTTAAAATAAGCGCATCGCCATAACTGGTATCTTCCATTAGTGGTAATTCCATATCTCAATCCTCCATTTCTTTCCTTTGTTCTGGCTATCCTTGGCTGATAAGTAAAATAGATAAATTGGCAGCGTCACCACTTGGGAAACACCGAGGTACTGCTGAAACAAAGTTCCTCAGAGTAAGTTTGCGTAACAACATATTGCTCTGAAATACATATTGATTACAGTCTACAGTCAATACGGGCAATAGTTAGGACTTTCGTGCTTCGTACGTATTGCGCAATACTACACATCCCAATGCTCCCTGCTTTGATCAGAAGTCGATTTACGACCACTCAGTCCTGACAACCCGGACATTTCGGCCCACTTTCAACCAGTAACCACCTTATATTTGCACCAGTTTATTTATGTATTTATATTTTTTCAGACGATCACGTTTTTTTTACAACTATTAACAATATTGGTAACAGGTCATTGCGCCATAATGGAGACTGAAAAAAAATTAATTGATTGCTGTCAGTTACACCGAGAATAAGGGAGTGAGGCTACTCCACTTTGTAAATAGGAGGCGTTTAGGCGAAAGGTCGTGGACCCCCGGGATGTCAAAGGTTACTTCTCCAACGCCGTGTAAATATTTGAACGCCCCATTTGGCAGGATCTGTTAATGTTAATAATGCTCTTTGACTTGATAAAAACGTCGCACACATCGGCCGACTAGCAATTTAACATGCTTTCTCGTCGTGGAACAAAGGGTGAAATACTTAGAGAGGTCGTGGAACTTCGCATATGTACTTGACAAAACGCTTTCTTAAACCGGGCTTATATTATTGCCGTTTGAAACGATTTTATTTATGTGCACTCTTTATATGACCTCGATGACGTAACGACTCATGCCATTGTACGTTGTTTTTGAAAAACTCGTCCTAATCTTTACAAATTTTGCAAAAAAAAATGAAGTAGTAAGTAATAACTGGATAAAACACATATGAACTGTGCCTCTGAAGTCATAATAAACGATGTACAATACAACTGAATATAGTAAGTCAAAACTTTACGTGATGCTGCGTTTGAAGAGTCTGGTCACTCCAGCTGGAGATGAAAAACCAAGATTACTGGAGGTGCTGAGAATGGGTTGAAAAACCTATTCGATTCCCAATAGGAAATGAGAGGGTGTTATGATAAGAAGACAAGTAGCTCTAGGTTGAGTTTGAAAACTAGAGCAAGGAATTGTATATCTTCATTGTTGAACTGATCTTTCGTCAGCCATTTTGGCTGTAGCTTAGGTCTTAGGACTGTGTGAATTGGCTATAGTGGATAGGAGTAAGAAGCTAGAGTAACTACACTTCTTAAGACACCATCCTCTCTTATGCTATTAAAAACAATCCAGTTTATCAACTCAAACTCCTAGTTCTTTCTTTCTCTAGTTTGCCATTTCCAACTATTAGACTTGTTATGATACCACCCTTTCATATGCCAATGCAATCATCCAAGTTTATCAACTTAAACTCCTCGATCGTTAATCTTATGGTGTTACTGACAGCAATCAATTAATTTGCTGGTTTTCCATATACATCTGGAGCTACTAGACCACTTATCACACCACACTCTCTTATGCCATTGCAATCATCCAGGTTTATCAACTCAAACTTCTCGAATGTTAATCATCTGGCTCTGGTTTTCCAGCTGGAGATAGTAGATTTCTTTCACATTCCATTGAAATTAATCATGTATATCAACCCAAATTGTCAATATCAAAGCTATGGAGGGCAATAAATCGTATAAAGCTGAAAAGCACAATAGTTATATTTTGATGGACGCAATGCAAAAGTGACCTAAAAGCCAAACTAACGTTACTTAGAACATAACGAATAAAATCCAATAAATCCTGCCATAAGATCTCAGACGAATGTCAAAGCTTCCTGCGTCAATAACCTCTCTATCCAGAACGACCTTAACTTCTTTCTGTCAAAGATGTGACCCATTCCAGCTTCTAAGTTATCAACCATATTCCTCAAGGCTTACATACATTTTTACACCCCGAGAACCCTCCAGATCGCCTTAACCTCAAGTATCAAGGTCTAATCGCCTCTTAATCTCTCGTCATTGGCTGGTTTCTCATAACACGGCATAAGCTGGGTGCTGTGGCGAGTATTGGGATAGTGTTGTGACGGGAAGTATTTTGAAAAAATTTGTAGGCCTCCGATGCAATGTAAGGAGTTTTTCATGAATGTTCTTAGATTCCTGCACAGGTTTGGGCATCTGTTATCGATGTCCTGTTGCGAGTACGAGTTATTAGTCACGAACGTGTCATGTTACGGTGTTGTGTCCCGACCCACCTTAAAGGTGAACACGTTATGCCGATATTTGTAAGTGGCCGTCGGTTGTTCCCAGTCGACCTTTTCTCAATCTTGCGATAAGGCAATTTACTTTGAACGAAAAGTGGAGTCGATGTCACCTCTCAAAGAAGTCTCGACACCGGGCCGTAACCCGTTCTTTTATGTCTTTAAGTGGGCGAATTAATGAGAAGCGGCGACGGGAAATTCCTTGAAAGGGAGGAAAATGACAGTTTGGAGAAAGGCCCGTGGGCGGTGGGGAAACGGGAGGAGGAGGTCGTGCGCCGCGGCCGCGGATCGATCCATGCGAGCATCGGCCGAGCTCTGCCTCAGTCCGTGACCAGACGCCGACCTATTTCTTTCGTGCCAGTATTTCAGCAACCATCAACATTTACTGTTGGCTCAGCTCCTCCGCCAACACGGCGAGGCCTTCCTATGTCATGCCGGGCGGAGCAAAAAAAGGTACTGCAACTGTCATTCAGCTTCCAAAACCCATCACGGCATCCTCTTTCCCAATCCTTTTTGTCAACAATAGAGAATAATGACAAAACCCAATGATTTTCACTCGTTTAAATCTTATTTTTAAAAGCTGTTTTTATCAATCTACGCGAGGTTTTGATATTCACCATTTTATAAACTCGATAGCATAGCAAAACCAGCACAAAGGAAAAACATTAGAGCAATGTTCAGCAAAAAATCCCTGTTTCAGTAAATAACAATGTCTTGAAAAACGACTTGATATAAATAATATATGAACACGAGGAGGAACATGAATAGCTCCGCCATTTGTAAGCCAAAACAAATGCGTACTAGAACCAACGTTGTTTGTTTCCTTCAAGCCCTACCAGAGCAAAATGGTGAATCGAGAACCAATTTTTATCCTTATTTATAATCATACTGTTACAGTTCAAAAAAACGACACATGTCTATCAACCGCAACCTAAAGTTATCAAATGACAAATTCGATTTGTACAGAAGACAGAGCCCCCTTTACGGAGGGGCGTAATAGCTCCTACAAATTTTAGTTTTCTAATCCATAGTTTTGAGACAAACCTCGGGGATTGAAAAAACGAACGTTTGATAAACAAATGAAAACTGTGAAATGTTTGATTCGGACTGGAGAGGGTAGAGGGTTGACCTAGATAGTAGCAGAACCTGGGCCATCCTCGCCCCGGGTGAAATGCCCTTCGGCAAAATCAGGAGAAATTGTAAACAATTTGTAATACGTAGTGTAACACAGGAATAAGGATCCATCAAAAGTCATACTTTCGATAGTCAATATTTTTGTTCTCAGTTCTATTGTCAATTACGTGACTGGAGATACCGTTCAGGGTTCCATTCCGGATGTTCTTTAACAATTTGAACAGAAGATGTACCAAATTGTCCTTTTATGATACATTTGTACTTCCAGATTTCCTTGCATAATTAACAAGTAATGGATTTAAATTATTCAAAACACACGCATGGCGGCGTCGGTAGTATTTTGCAATTGGGCGAAACTCCGCGCACTCGCAAATTTGTTTTAAGCTTTTCCGAGGAAAAAGTTCGTCTATTTTCTCGGTCTCCGCGGTATATAATTTGAAATCGAGAAGCAAAGAAAAAAACATGCAAAACGACCTGCTTTGAATGAACAAAAATGACGAGGAGCACTTCGAATGGTGACCTGACCATGACCTACCTTATCTGTTTAACCATAAAAATAAATATATTCACTCTCCTTTTCATTTCTTATTGCCTCATCTCTCATTCATAAAATCTACTCGATCACTTCGGTAGAAGCGGATGTGTTAAAATTCTCTTCGACGATTTATCTTTGTCGAGATTGTACACAACTTGTTTTAATTTTAGAACAGCGATCAGAGATGAAATCTAAGAGCAAGATCATCCCGGTTTGTTCTATTATAAACGATAGCACTTCTTCACAATATTCGTTTTAGATTATGCGGGTCTGTTGTATGTTTGCTGCTGTGCGTTCTGTTGCCTCGCCCTGCTTATAACCCTGACCACGTTTTGTAAACCAAGGAACAGTTTTCTAGCATGTTATATAGCATTAACCCGTAGGGAAGGTTTTTTTACTTGTGATGCGTTTCTTGTCCCTTTTATTCCTTCGTGAAAGGTGTGGTGGGTCAGGGTATAAGCAGGGTGAGGCGCCAATACAACACTGTTGAAGATAGCGAACATCCAAAAACAGAAAACAGGTATTTTATAATTCAACCCGTTGTAGTTTTCAACTGGTTTCATAATTTGGTACTTTCAGCATTTGGCCATTTTGATTGGTCGCGTTGTGTTCAAGCCTCGACCTGCTTGTATCCTAGACCATCATAGAGTTAGTTTCTTTTCATCAAAATTTTTGTCTAAAACACTTTTCTAGTATTTTTTTATAACATTAACTCCAATATTTGACAACGCTTCATGTCTTTATTTCATAGCTTGGTAGTTCGGCATTTCGCCACTTTGGTTGACCAGTTTTTCAGCCTCGACCTATTTTATTACAACTAGAAGTATCGAGGCAGTGATGACATTTTACGATTAAACAGTTAAATTATGAGATTACTACTTGAGGTTTGCGGAGTGATGATCCTGTTAGATCAAATTTCAGATGTTCCTGGTTCGCCTAGTCTCGCTGTGTGTGTTAGACGCTTTTAAGCATTTATCTATACCTAGTGGTTTGGTCTGTGTGTTTGTAAGTCGTTTTCGTTTTGAGAAAAATAAAAGGGTGTCAGTATTAGGTATGTGTTGTGCCTTGTCATTTCTATTAATTATATGTTCTGCTTCGATCTGCTCATAACCCTGACCGCGTTTTGTAAGCCAAGTAGAGTTTTTTCTTCAAAATCATTGCTTGAAAATTATTATGTAGTACTTATGTACAACACCTGTTGTGAGGTTCTTTCCGATCATCCTGGACCTCCTAGTATCGCTCGATTTGATCAATCACATGCGTTTCTACTTCTTGCCATTTTCATTTGTGGTTTTGTGTTCTTGCCTCGACCTGCTTATAACCTGACCACGTTTTGTAAGTCAACTAGTGTTCTTTCATGAAAATTTTTGCTTGGATGCTTATCTTTTCATTGTAGTTGGATCGTTTCCGGTAACCATATCCGACTAGTCTCGCTGTTTTGCATTGAGAGACGTTTTTAAGCATTTCTCTGGTTAGTATTTCGGTATTGTCTTTTTTAGTTGCTTTCTTTCGTTTTCGCTTTGGGAAAAGTGAAATGTCAATTCTGGTTAGGTGTTGTTCCATCGAACTGCTTATAACCCTGACCACCTTTTTGTAGGATAAAAACAAAGTTGTATGCCCACTACGTGTCGAGATTGTGAAAATATTCTAAAATGATCAACTTTTATGTGATATCTTCCTGAGGTCTGCGGGGTGCTGAACCTGTAGTTAGATCGTTTCAGATAATACTGGTCCGTCTATTCTTGAGGGTTGACGGTTTTGCCAGTTTTAGTAGTGGGTTTTTACTTTGTCCCATGTTTTAAAGCAAAGTAATGTACTTCCATCCAAATCTTTGCTTCAAAACCAGTTCCTAGTGTATTTTCTTTGTTGTTGAACCGTTACCGATTATTCTGGTCCGCTTTTCCTCGCGTTTTTGGTATGACAAATGTGTGTCAAATGGTTCGGCATTTAATCATTTCTAGTCTGTAGTTGACTACTTGTTACGCGTTTTCCTTTCACTTAGAGAAAAATATCGGTGATACCTGAGTTATTTCGGTGTTTAATGATTTAGGTCTGGGTTTTTGTAGTTTGTACCTGAATCTTTTATGCAGTTTGTTTTAATTCAATTTTAGTTTATCCCGTTTGATCACAAACCCACTAACTGGAAAAACTGCATTACAGTGACACAAAACCATGGTTTATCAGTCAATACTTATATCCTTGTATTCATGGTTTTCAAACATAAACATATTGACAATTGTTGAAAATTGTGTAACCAATTCATTTATCAGATATGAGCTCTGGTTCTGTCACTTATTGCACTTTATAACGTAAAAAATGTAAGATTTGCTCTAGAATCAAAACCCACCACCTTACCTGCTGATTTCGATCAACATGGAACGGTTTCTCAGTGAATGAAAGCATATCTTAGGAATATCTGGGAAAGTATATATTATCGAATATTTTTAACCACTTCCTTCGATTTCCATAGTTCTAGCCAATGCGATAACGACCTAGTAGGGCCGTGACGGCGTTTGAAATATTTAAAATAGGGCACTTATTTGCAAGGGCCTCATAAATATTGGCCGGATGTCCTTTGATGACCGCCTGTCGTCCTTTTGAGCAGAACGCGAATTCGTGACGTAACCTCGTTTTGCTAACATCTATTTATAGCACATTCGTGCTTTCAAGATAAAGTTTAAAGGGCGAATGAACGAATAAACTTCACCAAGAAGTTGCCAGGGAACGAAAAACAACTTGATCATTTGTTGGCGTTATAACAAGTATCGAGGGGGTTATTTTTAGTTGCATTCCAGAACGTCGATTTGCACGAAGCAGAAGTGAATTTTTCATGACATGCAAATATGAACGTCTCGTCGCTGATATATAAAAAAATATGACTATTCGGTCATTAGTCATCATGGATGACACACCGTGAATTGCATAAAAATGGACGTGTTTTCCAAGTTCACTGTACCCGTAGAAAGTGTTTACGTTCATTCTTAAAATTCGGAAGAAGTCTTTTCCGGTGTGGTTTAACAGTGGCTTGGCTTGGGTGGTGCGGGTGGTGGCAACGCTTGGGACGGTTTCGCCCACACATCACGCCCCAGCGTCACCAAATTTTCGATGAAGGCCCAATTTTAACAGCTTCCGGTTAAAAGACGTCGAACTGTAGGTTTTCGGGCAATTCTGTTCTATAAAGTTCGACTAACGATTTTCTTAAACCCAAAAGGACAAAACTCAGTGTCATTGCTGGACATGTTGAACATTGCCGACTCAATAGGCATGTGAAGATATTCGTGACCGAAGAATTAATTCCTTTGTCAATTTTGAAAAAAGGGGAAGAAACCGTAGTGCATTTTGTGAAGACGTTACAAGGAGAATTTTTTTTTTATTAGACGTTGACAAAAAGCCTGAATATTATGAGGTATGAGGTATAGCGAATTAACTAAGCCATCTAGATATCTTCATCCTAGAAGAAGATACATCGTTTGCACCAACTTCCAAGCAACTAGAGCTTAAAACTTATGAAGCGATATTGGACAGGGCCATGACTCCTAGGCATAACTTTACGATGTATGGTACCAGACTTTATTATAAAAACACCGTGAGTGACAGAAGAAAGCCTATGTTATATCGAGTAGAGAAGGAAACCCCTGTGCATATTGTCAAAGCATGTGAGCTGTTGGATCTAGGCTTTGGATGCTAACAAAAAGTTAAAAGAATATGAGCTATTCCTAGAAATGTTGCTAAGCCTACCTAGGTCGCTTTACTAATAGGTTAAAAGAAACCCAATCCAATAAA